ATATTAAAAATATCTGTATGACATTATATTCTGCAGTTCTTCCCTGTTGTACCGAATATCTATACTTTTCAAATTATCACATCGAAGTTAGAAATTCAAATATTGTGACAAAATTAATTTTGTAGGGTGCCACAAGTTTGTTAAAATTTCCAAAGGGTGCTGCGACTTAAAAAAGGTTGGGAAACACTGGGCTAGATGATAGAAAGTTGAGCTGTAATACAGAAGTGAAGGAGTGGGGTTAGCTGTCATAGTCTAGCAAGTTGGGAAAGACACATACACTTGTATTGTGTATGTGTTTTATAGAGACTCTCCATAGGTATATTTTTTTCATACTAAGTTAATCATATTTCCTGTTCCCTGACAATAACGCCACCCCTTAACATAACCCTCACAGAATGCTTCTGACATTTTTTTTATTTAAAAAAAAACAATGTTTTTTAAGCCATTTGATTTACATGGACACAGGAAGTGTTTACACTGTAATGCCCATGTTTATGTTGTAATACCCAAGTCATTATACATATTTGTGTTCTCTTAAACCATGTCTTCAAGCACACACATAGACACACACTTACAATAATACAACTCTTGCATTGATAACTTCTGTGCAACCAACACCTCAATCTTCCAAAAAATGATGTGAACAGGACCACACTTGTGTTCGTCAGCTTGTAACAATAGCAGAAATGTGTTTTTGTGTGTGTGTTAAAGCCCTTTTTGTAAGGTTACATAAAGAATCATGCTTTGAAAGTGCTGTATAGATTGTTAATGGTGTTATGAACAATCTTTTTTATTAATAGTTTATCTTCATTAATATTAGTTTTTTGAATATTGAAAAAAAAGTTAAATATGATCAAATATAAAATGATAAAAAAAATGAAATTATACTCAAAATATGTATCTAATGAATGAGTCATACAGTCATTCATTCAACCATTTCGTTAAACAGCTGATTCATTCAAAAATGAAGCAAGTGACAGTAAAGATAGGTTATTGAATTGTTGGCTTACTCAGTTCATTCAAAAACATGGATTCATTCAGTAAAGAAACATTGTAGTATGTTGCTCGGAGATGTACAACAGTTCTGCTGTGGCTTTGTTTGGAACTATGTTCATTGTCGAAATTAAGCAAAACAGGCAATATTGCCTGACATATGACAATATTATATCTAAAACACAATATTAACTTCATATTTACTGAGCTTTTGTATAAAATTAACTTCACATTTGCTGTGCAGATATTTTTGTGAAAAAAACAAAACAAAACATGTTTTCTTGTGATATTGCTAAACTGTATCATATGGCGTAAATATAAGACAAAAACCCATACAGGGGCATTTCTTTCCTTGTATCTTTAGAGGCACATAACTGCATTCTAATAAGCTACATCACACAGACAGTTGTTGTCCTGCATCACGGTTGTACATCACATGTAATGCATTTTCCCCCCATAATTATTGTTTTAAATCGACAGCCCTTGAATAAACACATGAAGAGTTCATTTGCAAAAACAGATAACTCAGTTTTTAAAAATGTTAAAAAAATCATGTTTTTTTTTATCCTGCATTCCAATTAATATCAATCAAACTGCAGTTGGGTTGTTTTGAATAAATAATAATAACTAAAAAATACAGCTAATTACATGAAAAACATGAAAACACAATTAAAAAAAAAATGATTAAAAAAAATCCTTGTGTGTTTGCGCACACGTGGCGAATAAAGCTAATTCTGATTCTGATTCTTATGATTTGTGAAAATTAATAAAAACTGAGTTGTCTGTTTTTGCAAATAAACTCTTCACATGCATAAAGAAATAAATACATACATAAAGAACACAAAATAAATGTAATGAAGGCCAAGTTCCAGTGAAATATCTTCACAATCCTCTATAATGTGTCTTTATGTACATTATTGGTTGCATTTTGGTGTAATTTAGTGGGCAGTTTTTGTCTGTAGATGATGACGTTGTGGGGTGGGACAGCATCTGGAGTAGAGACTGAAGAATCCAAACTCAAATACAAAGAATAATTTTAGAATAAAACGGTTCTTCAGGAAGATATAGTTCTAAACAGAACTGTTACTATGTGTAAATAACCTTTAAAGAACCATCATGAGTCATATGGAGCACTTTTATGCCATTTATGATGTTTTTTGTCCTTTTTGAAGCTTTGACAGCCCTTGGTCACAAGCTACTTTTTTTTAAACAACTGAATAGCAGCTTAGACATTTTGTTAAACATCTCATTTTGTGTATTATGCATTTTTAAATTATCTGTGAAATTTTTATAATGTATTGTATGTGTGTCTTCCAGAATTCCAAAGATGGAATGAAGAAATCCCAGAGCCGCTCCTTCATTAGCAACCTGAAACACAAGGTCAGAATAAAGACAATCTTTTTCTGTCTTTCTCCCTCTCTCTCGCTCTTTCTTTCCTTCTCTTTCTGCAGATTCAACAGATTCTCTGTTGCAGAATCAGGACTATCCTGTTTCCTGTCATCTTTGT